AATGTCATTGATTATTAAAGACCAAACTGCAATGGACATGGTAAAACTTTTTGTCGATTGTCCTGATTAGTTTAATCGAAAATCGTGAAACTGAACAATGCTTTCAGGTTTCCAATGGTAGCCCAACACTGATCAGTTCATGACTTCAGTGAAAATCAATGATCTCCACAATCCTAGACTGACAAAATAATGTTTTCATCACATATATTTAATCTATCACTCCTCACAACACTGTGTATACAAATGTTATGTCTATTGAGAGTTTTAATCACTTGAGTTTTCCGACAGTCTAATGTTTATTGACTGACATATTTTCAGTAGCTAAAACTCACTTTATTACTTCATGGTTTTTAAAATGCTGGTTTCATTAAAGTGTCTTAGTGATCATAAGATATTATTATGATGGAGATCTTCGCCAGAAGCTGACAATAACCAGCGAACCATTAAGATCTAGCCAAAACTGGTTGGTTGTATTGCTGGAAATTATAGTTTCTCATTAGAGTTTATCCACGATTATACTCTGGAACGAAGCCAGATCATCATTCACAACAGCAAGTACGGCGTTTTCGAATCATCGAGGGGAAATGCATTTTCAAACTTGATCATTCTGTGATAGATTACCAAATGACTTCAGTTAGTGATGAGAAGAAATGTAGGAATCCACAGAATCACAAAAAGATCATCTAACCTGATAATAATAGTACACTTTACTATTTGTACACTTTTTTGCGAAGGTCATAGCCTCTGAAAGTTACTATATCTGCTATAGGACAGTCCACCATTGATTACATAGAGTGTACCAAGGCAAAATTTTAGCATCTTAGTAATTCAATTACATTAGCTATTCTTCAGTATTCATTTAAGATTTAACAATGTGTACAGAAACCATCATTCTGAAGACCAGACTGCAATGCTATATGAGAAATTTTCACACAAATGTTTAGAGGATGTTAAAGTTAGTAGCGAACTACCTAATGAATCACACCTCTATGAATCAGGTGTTTTTTAAAAATTTGAACACTTGGGAAAATCCTAAAATTGTGAAAGAATATTTAAATATGTTTAAAAGCAGATTGCTAGTTATAAAAATTAATGTCTTTCTGTTCTTCTATGAAGCGTGACTAATGGTGTCGTCCAAACATCATTTCGATAAACAGTTATATCGATAAGTTATTGAAACCTCTATTTCAAGTATTAATCTAGCTGAATAACGAGATTTTCCCTATGAAATGCGACCGAATCAAGAGTTGATACCATAGCTAATGATCAACGCCTAAAAAATCTAAGTTAATGATAATTTTGTATAGAATAATCAAAATATTTTGAAGACTTATTCCCTTTAAGAGATGATGAAGTTACGTTCGACCTAGAAACACTTTCGATCACAAAACGATATCTTCTAGAAAAGTAAAAAAAGCTATGTAACTCTGGTTGTTTGGATCTATTAGTTCAAAAATTAACATCATCATGAGATCTGAAGACTGAGAATCGAACTTAAATCGGGGCCAAAGAAGAGAGGATTGAAATCGGAATGAGATTAGAAGATTTAATGACAAAGTATCACTTCTCTACCGTATTTAGCCAAAACCAATCCGTCTTATGGTCGGAGATCGAATTCGCAAAGCGGGAAAATTCATATGAAGATGACACTGATTTGTAGAATCATTCAACACAAATGAGGTCATCATAAAAACTTGACTTGTCAATTAAAACTAAATGATATGATAATGTTTACAAGAGTAATTGGGATGAGCTTGAGAATAATAATCTCAAAATCATCATGATCATGAAAGTAAACTGTAAAATCTTATTGTCCTACTATAACAGTATTATCTACATGCAACTTAATTCTTGCTTTGTTTATATTTTATCTAATTTGATAACCATCAAGCAGTCTCAAGTATCTCCTGTGTCTATAAGGAATCGTAGAAGGTTGAAAAGAGTTTCTCATTCCTGCACTGATCAGTATGTTTATCAAATGCATAACATAGAACTTTCACTTTAGTTACCGGTACTTTTTTGTTTGTTTACTTTAGAATATGGCTGTAACTTATGGGTAACACTTTTTGTCATTACTAGTTATTGACTTTGTCATTACTCTCTAGCACTAATGTATTATGTTTTAGTCAGTTTAGTTGATCAGATTATCGATATCTAAACTAGTCGACAGACATATTTGTCAGAAAACACAAACACTTTTGCTCACCAAGTCTTTTACATTTCATTGTAGAAATAGAACTTTAGAATAACCGACATTAATATAAAAGCTATTTAATATGCACGAAATAGGTCAATCATCTGATAAAGGGGTCTAAAATGGATACGAAAACATATCTGTTATCTATAATATCCTGAGTAAACAACACCATTCACACATCTTATATCTTATATTCAATAGACGAAATACTACCAACAATAATCATTACATGTATCAGTCAGCCTTCAGTAAAAATTAAGACATCTAGGTAAGTGGATAAAAAGTCTTTCCATCAATTAGCACAAACTAATCCAAGAATAAATATTCAATACTTTTTAATTTTTCAGTATTATCCAATTTCATGTCATTTTCATTATAAAAATTACTGACGAAATATTTGTATCATTTTAATTTAACAAAATGATAGATATTTTAACAACAGAAACAAAGTTAGCTTCACTATTGAAAATGTCAAAACGATGCGCATTTGTACATTGACGATGCACACAAATAACTTGAATTACAAATATAAAACTCTGAAACAATTGATAGAAGATAAATAAAATAGAAAAAAACCAATCAAACACTGATGTATATATATATATATATATATATATATATATATATATATATATATATATATATATATATATATATTGATCATAGTACTCAAAATAGTCGATTATCCCTTTTCTACATCATTTGTCGTATATATATAATGGAAGTATTGATTTGTGATATTTGATAAGATGATGAATCAATCGGGAAAGATAATAATTGGAGAGTGTTTAAAAGATTCAAAATAAACAGACAAAACAAATCTATTTTCCCTTTAAACATACTGATACTCTTTTTTTTATGTATATATATATAGTAAAATATGCGAAATCGAAAGACATCCTAAACGATAATAAAAAGGTTGCTTCATCAGTTGTTCAGTAGTTGTTTCATTTAAATATTGATTTTTCTGTAAATGTACTTATAGTAGTAGTCATTCACAATATAATTTATTTTGAAAGAACACCAACAATAGTCAAAAAAAATAATAAGTTATAATTTTAAAAAGTGTCTTTTTTCAAAGTTTAACCGACACTTCCGATGAGGAATTAAATGAACCCGACAGAGATGATGTTGATGATAATATTGATGTATGATGATGATGATGATTGGGTGGTGGTGGTTGTTGGTGTCGAATGATTTTTGATGTATTCAATGATTGTTTTGAATAGTTCACTTGATGATTTAAAGTTGACGAAGATGAATCGGATTCATGCTTATAATTTGAATTATATGAATGTTCAAGTTTCATTTGGCCTTGTGCATCTTTATTTAATCGCTTTAAATTATTTTTATAATTATCATTAATACTGTTTGTTTGGTGTTTATTATTATTATTATTATGTGATAAATCACTATTTACAGATTTCGATTTTAATTCATTTGATTTTAAATTATTATGTTTATGATTTATAGGGAAAAGTTTTCGACATGGAGCAGTGGATTCCGATTTTTGATAGGCATACAATGAATTCGGTGTAATAAAATACTTTTTATAATCTCGTAATTGTTCTTCTCTTGTCATACCAGTTGTTGGTCGAATATTTTTTAAGCGTTTAGCTAATTCCTGTGTGTATGTATTAGTTGAAAGAAGAAAAAAAAAGTGATATTTAAAACAGAAGCTATTGAAATGAATGTATATATATTTGTGCATTTTGTATACCATGGAAAAATAGTGTATTTTTCAAATTTCCACAACTGTAGTCCCGTTTCTTTTTTTTGGAGCTTTACGTTCATTTGATTTTTTTTACATCCTGCTTTACGTAATGTTATCGTTTGAATGGGCCTATAGCTTTCTCACTTTCGGTATAATTTATAAATTCGTTTGAACATAGATAAAAAAAAATCAGTTCGTTTTATAATCGAGTCGGTAGATCTATCGTAGTGAGTCTACTTGCAGCAATGCACACTTAACGCATCTGTCAGTAATTATACGTTACGCTGTATTTTCAAATATGATACGGCTTGGTTAAATGACACTCAGTTTGTTAAATTCAAACAATAAACAAATATCTAGGTGTTGGATTAGTAGAATAGAGAAGAGATCAAAAAGTAGAGAACCAGTAAAATAAATAATTACGAAGAACAAAGTTATCATAGAACAAGTATGAAGATCAAGAGAGAAATATTTAGAGAATAAATCTATGTTGATGTGACGAAATTCGGTTCATAATACTTACAAACAGTTGTTTTTACAAGGTAGTTATTGTGGGTCTATGTTCGAGTCGAACAAAATTAGTGCATACATCCTGGAAAGACTTTAGAAACTGCAAACTTAAAAAGCATAGAATGTTCAGTTCATGACAAACTTACATAGTTTTCTATCTGGATTTTTTCGTTTTGACGCAAACGATTCAATGTCGAATGGTATAATCTACGTACAGCTATTTCATCATGTAAAAATTTTGCTGAACAGCTTAAACTTGAAGATGGTCGCTGACTTTGATACTTCAAATAATCTTCGTACATATTATAAAATGCTATTGTTTGATCACTCGGGAGTGGTTTTGAATTTGGATCTTTCCATGGTGGACGGATATGTAACCGATGAACCTTTTTATTAAGAGTTTTCAAAGCATCTGCAATTTCGTCTACATTAATACGTTCATTATTCACATTATAAATATTAGGACTATGAAATGAGAGTTTGGTTTGTTTTTTCTGGTTATCATTTTTGTTTAAAGATTGCCGCACTGGGGAATTTCTAGACGTTTGATAGTTAGTTTCATTACTAGAAAGACCAGTAATATCACTAGAAGATAAATTTGATCGTTCTTCGATGTCATTGTAATTCATTGAATCACTGTACACATCCTTCACTACAGCTTTCTTCTTATTTATTTTATTAGGATTGTTATCTGGTTTATGAGACAATGAACTTTTACCCCGATTGTTTCCATCTCCTTTTATTTTCCTAATCTCGTCTTCGTCCTCAGTGCTGTGATATGTTTCGTCGCTTAGATCAACATCTCCATTCCGTTTATACGGATTACCTCGCTGTTGTTGTTTTAACATCAAAGTTTTATTGTTTGGCTCAAGTGAAGCCGAATGCGTGAGCTCAGAATCTTTTTTATCATCCTTTTTCAATGGTTCCAGGATCGACTCACTTGTTGTTATAAAAATAACGATATAAATAACAATTGTTAAAGAGATGGCAGAAAGAATAAGAATAGTTAGCTGTCAAAATATATATTAAACGACAGAAGCGTTGTACATTTTTTAATAGAATCCGTTTATCTACATATACTAGTTTTCAGTGAGTGGATTATATAATAATCATAATAATAATAATAATAGTAATAATAATAATAATAAATAATCTGAATAAAATGATAAAAAGAGTAGTTTAACAAAGCAATATCATTTGTATTGAGATTTCAATTTCTTCACAGGCATTCCAATAGTTTTATCTTTTTGGTTAAGTCAACTGAACACATCAGAATTACTACTCATAGAATTTAGGTAACAACCTATGAATCAACGCTTACCCAGGTTTTTAGATCTATAAGCTACAATTTTTAACAGTAAACAGGTTCCGTATTGATTAAGAGGACTGAATTTGGTACTCGACATGTCCAAATCACATTTTATTGGTTACAGCAAAGATTGTGTAGATATGTGATACAGTGAAGCTGTTGCAAATTTACTGAGTGGATTGATTGTCTTGCTTCTGCGCAAAAATTTCCTATTAAAAGTTCTAGGCTATGCAGCTTTTAGTGTTCAAAGTTTGAAATGGACATTTACGAATAGTGATGAAGGTGAGCTGTCAACTTAATTGCTCACGAAAACAGCTAATATACTTATCAGAATATTAGGACAAAGTTTTAATGTCATCATGTAACGATTAATAATTTCATTCCACTAAAATTTAGTCAAAAACTGCATATTCACAAAATGACTTTGTTACACAAAGTTCACTTTTTGTTTTGGTTTGAAACTGTACAGACTAGACATTGATGACAGCAAACAGATGTGTTAAAGTAAGTCTTTATGATTTTGTTAGACTTAGTAGACGTTACTGAGGCATGTAGCATATCTTATAATACACTATAAAATTGATTTTATAAATACTTCATATACAAATGTTTTTATGTCTATCAAAACTGTTTAGCTAATTTGCTCTGAACTACACTATAAAAAACCAATTTAACCTCCTTCATTTTATTCTACTTAAACCTTAATATTTAATACTGATACTTATACAAATGGGACAAACACTGACATTGCTAGATTAAAAGAAAGAAGCCAGACGCTATAAACTGTGATCTGTGTTTGGCTGAAAACCTAATTTGGGGCCCTCACTGCTGAGAAACGTTTTAAATTCTGGCAAACCATTAGATAGGAGATTTGTACAAGCACTGAAACTTGAGCATTCAATTTGAAATTGTTCGTACCTAGGAAACTGTAACAAGCTCTAGCAGAGCAAACAGGTTGGTTCTTAACGTCACCATGATTCTTCCGCGTTTAATAGCGAGTATGACCGTACAGAAATATAGTTTAACACTTTTATATTATTAGTGATGCTTTAAGACTGAAGTTGGTCAGTTTTCTGTTACGTAAGTTCATCCTATGCGGACTGCCTCAATACCGTCATTAAGCCGCAAGCACTATAAGCAGAGGTGAACAGTGGCTGTCAGTGGAAGCGCGTTCCCTGGATTTCACTGCTAGCCACTATTCATCCCTGCTTAAAAAAAAGCAAAAGGATAAATAATTTTTGTAGTACGAGGTTTATTTTACAGTGCAATACATCTTAATATATTCCTTATGTTCTCTTAGTTATGAGGCATTGCAAGTTCGGTTGTATTGGTGTTCACTTTGGTTCGTTTATATATTTATCAAGTGCATCATAAATATCATTTGTCACGTTTATTAATCAAACTTCATTTTAGCTGCTCTGTGTTGAATAGACAATATTTCCTGTACCTTAGTTTCAAGTTATGTGAGGACTGAAACTTGATCGTATAATTGCTACATAGTCATCTAGTTTTAAGTACACTCTGAGGTGTTTTCGGTCAAACTTGAATTAACATGGTCTTGGGACATACATCTTTCATCACGCAAGCGTTGTGCAGGTGCATCAAAGGTGTAAAAAATTCTTCTCTGGAATGGGTTCCTAAATACTTACACATCGTCCCTTAAAATCGTTAAATAGTCCAGCAGAACTGAATATGAAACGTGGTTGTCGATGTAATTATAATTTAGACATGCTTGTTTCGATCAGTAAAATTAATCGATGAACTTGACTATCACAGCTACTCAGGAATAATTTAATCGTAATACATGTTAATAATGGCCCACATTTGCTAAACTAATAACCAAGTAAAACTTGTTAAGTTTCGAAACTGTGAATGCTTTAAAAGAAACTCATTCTGATCATGGAGCGTTGAAGTCCGCTGCTTAAAGTCTAGTTTTACCGTTCTAAAAAATCCCATTCAAAAGGAAAACAAAAAAAGCTGACCAATATAGAGCATACTTTGAGAAGACTAGGTGTTAACGTGCAGGGTAGGCACTAAAATTTCAACTTCCTTTTATCTAAGAAAGAAATGGAGATTTTACGCACGAATTTTTTTCTTGGAAATAAAGACTCGGAATTTATGTCTGATCGGCTAAAACTGACGAAAAATTGTCTTTCACGCAAAACTACACTTATAACATATTTATATGCAAATATAAACATGATATCGAGAAAATGGAAAATGCAAAAAACTTCGAAAATTTTTTTAACATATATGTTTGCACTGCATTAATATTTCATGTGAGTGTGAACATGTTAAATTCATCGGACAATTTATCAGCAAATGTATAAAATTTGGGATATTTGGCTATATACTTTAACTACAGTTGAGAATCTTGTAAAAAGTGTGATTTCAATAATCTTCATACTATATTATACATGTATATATATATATACATAAGTATGTATGTCATACTGAAATAAATAAAATTTCCGCTCTATGATTACTTTTAGATCATAAAATTCATATGTTTATCTTTTTGCTAACTTACGGATGTTCATCAAAGAATTCAAAATCTACAGATTCAGCTGGATCAGCTGGGTAGACATCAAAGTATTCAGGCAGTTTTCCAGAAGTAGACATGTAACTTCAACCTTTTGTAAGCTTCAGTTCAGCTGATAGGTGCCTTGTGTGCTAGGGGAGTGTAAGGAGAAGCGTGCCAGATTGTCTGGAACAGGAAATAACAAGAGGATAGGTGAGATGATTCAGTATTCACATAAAATGCACTTACATTTAAGATAGGAATCAATTGGAAGAAATCAGAAATAGCACAAGCACGAGATTCGGACGAAGTGTACGAGAATTTAAAAGTCAGTAGAGTGGGGTCCTGAATGCTTTACAGACATTACGCTTAGACGAAGCGGGAGACAGTAAACATTATGTATCGATGATTTTAGTAAGTAAAACAAAATAAGTATATTTGGAATAAAAGGTCGAAATACCATAATTTTGCCTAGTGCTTATTTCTCATACCGAACCGTTTGATCAGTTGGTTTCTTTGTGCTCTATTCTTGTTTCTTCACTACGGTTCCAGGTGTTTGGTAGTGTCCAATGAATTGGGTTCTAACCACTCGAATGTCTAACTCTAGTCACTTGGCAGTTGTTTGTGAATTTTTATGTCAGTCAGGCTGAATGAATACGTTTGTTTCAGGACGGTATAGTTTCTGAGTATCGGCAGTTTTTACATTACCATACAAGAGATCAGTTATTTTCGATGTGGAGAATAATAACAAAACTCTAGTGCTAGTAAGAAGAGGTTTTCAGAACTAAGTAAATAAATAGATGATTTAGTATAATAATTAGTACTGAAGATTGTGAGATAGGCGAGATAGATTAACTTAGCGATCTGAGATTGAAGTAATAAGAACTCGCAGGTCTCGATACATTCATCTCTCACAGCTCGTCAACGAGGGAGATCATAATCCGTATGTAAGTACTTGTTTATCAAGTCTCTCTTTAAAGCTGTCCATTCAGGGCGCTAGTGTCACCTCGGCCCGCAGAGCATTTGAAGTTGCAACGACTCTTAATGAGAAGAAAGGTCACGAACTTGAGTGTTCGCGCCTCGATGCACAGCTTCCACGGAGAGGGAGTGCGAGGACGTTGAAAACCCCAAGTTGAGGGGGCATATTTTTCTCAAACAACTTTAGGAAGAACCCCGTAGAAATAGGACAAAGTCTTCTTTGCATAAACTGAAGAGTTGCATTGACCTTGGTTGCGTCCCCTATATGGTTCGAATTGGTGTGGAGGCTCTCAGTGATTAATAAACACAGATACCGCTCTGAGGGCATAGTTGAAGAATACGGTCGCGACTATTTACTGGGATCCAGTCTTAGAGAGCTAGTTCTGCCCTCGGATTCAATCCTATACCTACACCAGCAGGAAGCAGCAGTAGGACTTCTACATATACGTAGCGTAAGTTGTCTCTCTTTCTGCGCTAGATGATGATTTTACTCTGATCGTGTATGCGCATTTTTGAGACGTGACATACATCGATTGTATGGGGTTATAAAGTCCTAGTTAATGAAGTGAGTTGTACCATTTACCACAAGGTTTGAACATAAAAAGCTCCAATATGTAGTCTAGAATGGGGTTGAAGGAGACCAAGACCAAAGTATACGTGGGCTCATACCGTTTGCTTTGGCGGCGCGAGGTGCCGAACTATCGAAGGAAGAATTGGCCAAAGAGTTAAGAGTTATTACAAGGTGTAGAAGGAATTTGTTTGTGATCGTTTGCTTATATGGTTGTGAAATAATTTCCCGGCTGCACACACGGTGGGAGGGTTCTGATTGTCAGAAGAGGTCTCGCACTCATGACTTTCGGAAGAACCGATCTTCCATCGTGAGATGTCATGACTCTTCTGCTAAAGACCTTCAAGCTCCCAGAGCAAGGTTTATATGGTTTGAATTATTTTTTCTTCTTAGTGTTACTTTTTTGAGGGATAGGGTCGCCAACCCCAATCCTAACCCTCCGAGTTGGGACCAACAGTAGCTTCGAAGGGCAAGCAGGTGAAATTAAAGTAGAAGCACGTGCAGGCTGTGTACGAAAAGCCGTTTTAGACGTGATTCCTAACATTTATATAACATTTCAGTACTCCATTTTTCCGACTATGCAAATAACGCTGTCTTTTTGTGTATATTCATTTTGGTACTATTTGCTTTCCACTGAACTTCATTTATTTGTGTTTTTTCATGCGAGCTACTTCGATTTCATAAAAGAGATGAGTATAATGATGTCAGTAAAGATTGCAGTGGGGAGATGGATCTGCTTTAGATTCCTCATCAGTATGACATGGCTGCTACAAATGCTATTAGGTGCTGCTGTTTTTTAAAACCTGGCCAATGTTATCAAGAATGTGGGAATATAATCGCTCGCTGATTTTAAAGATGATCACACAAATTGAAATAAAAAAATACTAGTCAGCGAAATCTTCTTCTTCTGACATTCAAATGATTAATCAAGACGGTAAACTGTCTGAAAGCAAACAAACTGACTTATTTAAATGTTGCCATTCAGTCGAACAATTGGAACTTTAGATGGGGATTAGCTGTTGCTGGTAATTCTGAAAGTCTTGTTTACCTTGATCCAAAAATAAACTTAAATCAGGCTGATGCTTTTTTAAGTTGTTTTGTTCTTGAACCATATTCTCGTCCAGACTTTATGAATCAAGAAATTTTTCGATGATTTACGGGTTAGCCGAACATTAAGTAAAGTAAAGGAAACCAGAAGTAGTCAGTTTATCGATAGCTAGCAAGCTCATCGCTGTACTGTCCGCAGTATCTGGTAGAAAGTGGCTTGGAATGTTGAAAGTATGAAACATGAAAAGTCCAACTTCTTCACTGCGTATGTCTTAATTTTGATAAACCGTATCGTCTATATTTTTATTTATTGTCTACAATTAAAAGAAAACAGTCATTGTCTTCTCGTTAGCACAGAATATCATCCTTATCTGAGTTCACTAGTGTGTAGAGATACAAGTAATGTGGTTGTTTGGCTAGACAAACTTTCAAATAAACGTCATTCGTTACATCAAGACCATAATCAATCACTATCAAATAATAATAATTTATTTGCATTACGGGGTTGTGAAGATTGTTAAGATGTGTAATAATTTATTCTCAAATGGAGATAAAATTTTCAGAAAATGTCAGTTTTACATCTACATCCGTTAACAGACGGCTAACTCACAGACAAAAGAGGTAAAGAAACGGTTTAGGAATTATCAGAAGTGAAACCGTTTAAAAATTTTCTAGATTTTTTACAGTCGCCATAAATAAACAGTATCTGTGATACCTTTATAATGATATTAATCATCTGTACACCAGATTTCCGGTCAGGACTATTCTAGTAGACCTGAACGCACCCGGGGGTTAGAACACGCAATTAGACTGACAACATTGTGTAAATAATAGTCAACAATCGTCAGAAAATCGTAAACAATATAAACAGTTGGTAATACATCTGTCACCTCAAGTAACTGAGAGTTCATCTAATGGACTGTCTGGATCAATTGCCAGTGACAATTTTTCTCAGCTCACAAAACACTTCCAACGTGATATTTGATCCCGCAGGTTTGCATGAAATGTTTCGTTTGTTTCCAGTCCTTCAAACGCGTTTCACTAACTTTTAATTTTAATTTATGTCTTCTCATTTCAACTTGTGGCGAAACATCTATATTTTGCAAGTAAAATCTCCCTTGGTAAATTTCAGCTTTGGACAACTCACGATTACACATGTATGTTTGTACCATCCAATCATTTTATCATTTAGATTCAAAACATCGAAAATGTTCTAATTGATTTGCTCGAGAATATTTTGGCTAGTTTTTTCACATCTTGACGATTTCGGCTTGTTTTTTTTCTATATGATGTGAGAAATTAATCCATAACTTCTTCATTCTAGATTCTCCCATTTTTAAGAGAGCTAGCGTACAAAGAGCAACAAATTTCTATGGTTTCCCATTTGACTGTGCGTGATATGGTGAAGTCTTAATATGTTCAATAATATTGTTTCCAGAACTTTCCAAATTCATCTGATTTAAAGCGCATTCTATTATCCGAAACAAACTCATTAGGAGTCCTTAACCTAACAAGTATAAATCTGAGATGCAAGAATGTCTTAGATGTAGTTGGGTTACATACAGCATAGAATTGATGCCTTTAATATTTTCTTATATATATATATGTATATATATATATATATATATATGAAGATCCTAAAAATATAGGCACAGCTATTTATTGCTTCTCCTTATAGTTGTTTTTTAACATTGTAGCCAGAGAAAAAAAATGGTGAGCATCTTTTCAGCAAAATTTCCCAGATCTCGGATGTGAAACCAGTTCAACGTTACAAACATGAATCGAGGATATGGTTGAAAAGGAAAAGTAACTTCAATATCATTAAATACTTACATCGTACTTTAATACAAGGAGCCGTAAGCAACACAAAATTTTCTGCTCCACATACTTCGGTACATTGAAGTCATCGACCCACCATCTTGACTGCGAGTCAGACAGATAACCCTCCATTCTTTATGTGATATTACGATCTCTAACTTTTGGCGGTAGGTTTTTAATAATGTTTCTGTCTAGGCTATTTTTATGTTTTGTACTTGATGTAACGTCAACCACGGTACTAATGACACCCGAACGTTAGACCCCTCCGTTCAAAGAAAGAAGACGGAAGACGTTGTAGAACACTTCTTGTCAGAATCAAAAAAATATACAATCAAACATGCGTATTTATACAATTATATAAAAGTCGTTAATTATTTGAACATGCTTCAAATAGTTCGTCAGGAACGATAATCATATAGTTCATCATAAATGAAATAGTTTATCATGAACATTAATCATATAATTCATCATTAATGAAATAGTTTATCATGAACATTAATCATATAATTCATCATTAATGAAATAGTTTATCATGAACATTAATCATATAGTTCATCATTAATGAAATAGTTTATTATGAACAAAAATCAAATAGTTCATTAAATCCACAATATGCGTGGCTTTATTCTCGATTGACTATCCCAACAGCTATAACTTTTGTACACCTTGTCGGGGTACACTTTCCCTACTAGCTCCATGTCACAAGCAAAATGGACAACTTTAGCTTCTGTATGGTGGATTATATATCCATGTGGCATGCCACAGTGCTATTAAGTTAACTGATGGTATTCGGCAGATAGGAAGGACAGGTAGCTGACTTAATAAAATGAAGAGAAACTGAATCGGAAATCCGTGAGTAGGGTGATAAATAGAGATCTAGTTTGTGTGAAAATTCTTTTCTTTTGAATATTAAAATAATTTAGGGATTAGATCTTATCCCCCTTATTAGCTTTATTCTTTATAATTTCCTCTGATGTG